ATGTGGTCACCTCCGGGGCAGGCGGGAATCGAACTCATGCGGAAGTGGCTTTGGATTCTCAGTGCTGTGCTTTAACCCGCTGCGCCACCAGGGAGGGCCCTTTGTTCTGTTTTTTAATCGACTCTGCTTGATGTACATGGTTCCGCGCCCCTCCCTTTGCTTCCTTATGTTGAAGAAGGTAGAGAGTGCGCTTCTTAATGCCCCTGACTCCTTGGAGTCTTTGAACTTCTATCCTGCCCTCTCTCTGCTAGCATCCTGTCCTCCTCGGCCTCCAGTCCCCTTCAGCCTCCCGTCCCCAGCTCTGTATTAGGCCTGTGACCCAGACATTTTTCCCGGGCAGATCTGTACAGCCTGAGATTCTCCCAGCTTTCCTGCTCCAGCAGCCAGGTGGATGAGGCAGGGAATATCGGGGGTGAGGTGACTTTTGGGACCACAGTCTCCTGATTTGTCGGGCCTAGAAAATAATCAGCTCAGTGGTAAAACCGGAGGAAATTCACTCTGGAATACTGAGCTATGGCCTCTTCAGATCTACAGGTTTAACCTCACAATCCCATTCCTTCCTTCAGTTATTCAATGAAGCACCTACTATGTGCCAATTAAGTGCCTACTATGTGCCACAAAGCAAACTGATAAGCATTTCTGCCTTGTGGAGTTGATAGTCTAGGCATGGGAGTAGCAGACAATATAAATTAAATCTGGGCTGTCGTGGGTGGTAGTTAGGGCTGGAACATAGGTCAAAGGTCAGGGGACTTTAATGGCAGAATGTAAAATGCCGTAGCCATTGTGGGAAATAGTTCAGTTCTTTACAAAGCTAAATTTCGAGTTACCATCTGAGCCAACAGCTCCACCCCCAGGAACATGCCCCAAAGAATGGAAAGCTGGCATTCAGATTACACCCATAGTAGTAGTAGAAATAGGAGTAGTAACCTCATCTACTGTAAAGGTGGGAGCAACCCCAGTGTCCTGGGGAGATGACTGGCTGAACCACACGTAACATGTGGGTGCCAAAGAAATGCATGTGACAAAGAAAAACAGACTGCCACCCGCCTCACAGAGGCGCGGCCGGGGGAAAGATCACAAGCACTAGAGCAGAGAGAAGCCCAAGGGCTACCCCGGAAGTGACGTGCACCCCCCAAAGGTGCTCGTACTGATCTGAGCCAAGTACAGAGGTGGGCAAGTCCCTAGGGAGCGTGCGTGCTGGGGTGCGTGATGGGGGTGTCAGCCAGGGAGGAGGACCGGGGGCTCTGGGCTGGGGGCTTCGCTGTTCCTGCTGTCGCAGCGTGTTCTCTCTGCTCCCCACTCGTGCCCAACTTCCTGCTCATCCTCACAAGACAGGCGCTTCACCGAGCTTGCTGATGTGGCCATCACGTCTGCCCGCTGTTTTCAGCAGATTAACTACTATGTGCCTCAGACCAGGGCTTTTCTCCTTAGTGAGAGGCCCCTGCCTGACTAGACCTGGCTGACCAGCAAGAACTCTGGGTACCAAGACAGTAGCCCCCAGGCTACCAAGGAGGGCCAGGGATCCCACAATAGACATTATGTAAAGTGAAGTAATTGGTCACAGAAGGACAAAGAGTCTGAGTCCACTTAGGCAATTTCTAGAACCGACAAACTCTGAGACAGAGCAGACTAGATGCAGCCAGGCTGGGATGGGCCTGCTGCTTTGCAGCTAGAGTCTTGTTCGGGCTGGGTTGGTTTGCTAGGTTGCTGTAAGGACACACCACTGAGCTGCTCAGGCGATAGAAATTTCTGTCTCAATTCTGGGGACCTCCCAGAGAGATCATGGTGTCGACAGGATCTTGCTCCCCCTGAAGCCACCAGGCAAGGCTGTTCCAGGCTCTCTCCCAGCTTCTGCTGGTTCTTTGCCTTATGGCAGTGTAACCCCAGTCTTCACACGGCTGTGCCCACATCTCCCTTCCTCCTGGGACCCAGTCATATTGGAGAAGGGCCCACGTGCTTTTTCTTTCTTTTTTTTTTTTT